CTCCCCACCCTCCAACACTCTCCCACCACCCTACACCTCCCCCACCCTCCAACCTCCCTCCAACACCTCTCCAACACTCTCCACCACCCACCTTCACCTCCCACCCCCAACACTCTCCCACCCCCACACCTCCCCCACCCTCCAACACTCTTCCACCACCCACCTTCACCTCCCTCACCCTCCAACACTCTCCCTCCACCCTCCCTACACCTCCCCCACCCTCCAACCTCTCCCTCCACCCTCCCACACCTCCCCCCCCCCTCCAACACTCTCCCACCACCCACCTACACCTCCCACACCCTCCAACACTCTCCCTCCACCCTCCTACACCCCCGAAAGCGGTATCAATTAACATACTAATAAGCAGAGAAGGAAAATAAACGGAGACTGAAGTAAACCCGAAACAAAAGGTGACAGAAAACATCCATTACCACAGAGCATTATGGACTGAAACAAGATAGCAGTTGGCCATCAACTATGAACTGACAGGAAGTGAACAGAGGGTTACGAGGCATCAGTCAACAGGACTCAGTAATGCCCATGGAGAAAAGTTAAACAAACAATAAAGTCCCCCACACACCATTATAACAATAATAGGAAGATTGGTGGGGAGAACTTCAGTGGGGGTGTAGAGAGAGGGAGCCGAGTGGGGAGGTGTAGAGAGAGAGCCAGTGGGGGGTGTAGAGAGGCCGACTAGGGGGTGTTGAAGGCCGACTGAAATTGTTGAGAGAGCCGACTGGGGTGTTGAGAGGGGGCCGACTGGGTGGTGTAGAGAGGAGGCCGAGTGGGAGCGTAGAGAGGGGGCCGAGTGTGGATGGGTGAGTTAACTTGCAATCGATCATCATAAACGCTTTTGTTAACAAATCTTCTGGAATTTCATTGAATTCCACCCAACTACGACCAGATATGAGAAGCTGTCGTGATGGCTAAACAAAAGTGTATAAACGGATCATACATCTGTCACCGAGAACCCGTGCACCGTCAACAACATGGCGACACAGACACCATCTGTCATTAAATAATCATATTCTTTGTTGAAACAAATTACAACTAATTAATTAGTAATTTTTATATCTAGTAATAACTTTTATATATTTTACGCGGATAATTATAGTACTACATGAGTTTAATAATTGTGCAGGTGACAAGGTCTACAATTATTGTACAGGTGGCAAGGTCCACAATTATTGTACAGGTGACAAGGTCTACAATTATCGTACAGGTGACAAGGTCCACAATTATTGTACAGGTGACAAGGTCTACAATTATTGTACAGGTGACAAGGTCCACAATTATTGTACAGGTGGCAAGGTCTACAATTATTGTACAGGTGACAAGGTCCACAATTATTGTACAGGTGACAAGGTCTACAATTATCGTACAGGTGGCAAGGTCCACAATTATTGTACAGGTGACAAGGTCTACAATTATTGTACAGGTGACAAGGTCCACAATTATTGTACAGGTGACAAGGTCTACAATTATTGTACAGGTGACAAGGTCCACAATTATTGTACAGGTGACAAGGTCTACAATTATTGTACAGGTGACAAGGTCTACAATTATTGTACAGTTGACAAGGTCTACAATTATTGTACAGGTGACAAGGTCTACAATTATTGTACAGGTGACAAGGTCTACAATTATTGTGGTGACAAGGTCTCCAATTATTGTACAGGTGACAGGTCTACAATTATTGTACAGGTGACAAGGTCTCCATTATTGTACAGGTGACAAGGTCTACAATTTTGTACAGGTGACAAGGTCTCTATTGTACAGGTGACAAGGTCTACAATTATTGTACAGGTGACAAGGTCTACAATTATTGTACAGGTGACAAGGTCTACAATTATTGTACAGGTGGCAAGGTCTCCAATTATTGTACAGGTGACAAGGTCTACAATTATTGTACAGGTGACAAGGTCTACAATTATTGTACAGGTGACAAGGTCTACAATTATTGGTACAGGTGACAAGGTCTCCAATTATTGTACAGGTGACAAGGTCTACAATTATTGTACAGGTGACAAGGTCTCCAATTATTGTACAGGTGACAAGGTCTACATTATTGTACAGGTGACAAGGTCTCCAATTATTGTACAGGTGACAAGGTCTACAATTATTGTACAGGTGCAAGGTCCTACAATTATTGTACAGGTGACAAGGTCTACAATTATTGTACAGGTGACAAGGTCTACAATTATTGTACAGGTGGCAAGGTCTCCAATTATTGTACAGGTGACAAGGTCTACAATTAGTAACAGGTGACAAGGTCCACAATTATTGCAGGTGAGCGGCCTACAATTATTGTACAGGTGGCATCCCAATTATTGTACAGGTGACAAGGTCTACAATTATTGTACAGGTGACAAGGTCTCCAATATTGTACAGGTGACAAGGTCTACAATTATTGTACAGGTGACAAGGTCTCAATTATTGTACAGGTGACAAGGTCACATAATTACGTAGGTGACAAGGTCTCCAATTATTGTACAGGTGA